CAACTCTTGCCCATTCCAGCAGAATGCTGGGAATCTGTCTCAATATACTCTGTATTTAGATTCCCCGCAGACCTACACAAGAATACATATATTCCTGTGTTCTTTGATAGACTAAGTAGAAAGGTACACCTGGTCGCTGTATCTAAATCTATCGATAAATTAGGATATGCTTGTATTTTTGTGACAAGATCTTCTGTCTTCATGGGTAGCCTCGCGAACTCGTCTCCAATCGAGACCCACGGTTTACTGCTGATTTCTGGCGATCCTTGTTCATGACACTCATAGCGCGCCTTCAGATGACGACCTCTGACCACTATAACACAGATAGTTATACAGTACGTGCCAACTGCGTTTCACAGGAAATCCTGTAAGGTCAGGTCCATTCGTTTGCAAATTGGACCCAAATCTCGCCAATGGTGGAATTTGCCATAAAAAAATCGAACATACGTCGAAGACGCATATACAGTTCTAAGTAAATCGCTTGCTCCATCCACGCATACACATCCTTTTTAAGGGTAACTCGAGCTGAACGGGGTAGGAAATCATTCAAGCAGACTAAAAATCGTCTCTCACTCATCACGTACTGACCACGAGGTTGCCACGTATGACGCCGACGTCGTTCACAGCGTTATCGGGAGGAGAGGCACGAACGACAGAGGGTGCTCTTACGAACCGGGTCACTGATCTTGCCGCAGTGTGCTCCAAGCCCACTATATTTTGATACAGCGAGTCAGAGAATAAATTCATACTGGATCGCGAAAGGTTGGTTTGTTTTGTGAAAGATGCTATTACAGAAGCGGTAGATGACAAAAGAAAAACGCTGGATAAAATCGAAGTGTAAGTGTTCTTTAATTTATCAAAGGTGACTTAATCTTCCTATCTAAAGTAGATCTACCTCTGCGCATTGTGACTAACGTTGGTAGTATCAAGCTTCTACCCAAGTTCATCAGTCCATTTCGTGTACTGCGCCGCTTAGGCAATGCACAAACGAATGAATTGCGACGTAGGATGCGTGCGCATCCTACGCTCTACGTCGGTCGCTTTAGGCCGAATCACCAGTACGTAAATTCATCCGATGAAGGAACCTATTTTTCTCAAGCAAGGGTCTTCAAGAGATACTTGTGCTCGCGGTGCTGATAATCAGCCCGCATCAAAGATTCGGATTTACCCCTGCAAAGCCGAGAGACATCCTGACGAGCTTCCACTAACTCGTCACGTAAGAATTATGTGACCGCTCATTACTTTCAAGCTAGGCAAAGCAGAATCTGATCGATTTCACTCCCGTTTAAAGGAGTTACGATTCACACTACCGGTAAAATGCAGGCTTATACCTCTCTGGGGCTCAAGCTACACGCTCAACTCATACGTTACGCGCTCGAGAAATGCCTACAGTTATAAAATGAACTTGCACATTTTTCTGACAACGTGTTATCTCCTCCAATCCATCCATTCATTGATGCGCGCGGTGGCCAACGGTTCATTGTGGAACGCTCGTTCCACAACGAAGCGTTTGCGATGTGAAGGGACGTCGGTCGAGTAACCTCGTCCGATGGTGCGAGTATACACGCTCGGTAGTAACGTAGCAGCCTCTCTTAACTGCTGGTAAATGGCTTGAGCCTTGTCGAGCAGCATGAAAAGGAGCATCCGATGTCGATCAAGTCCCGTAGAAGAATGATCGCCCAGCGCGCTTGTAGAGGATTGCAAATTAGCAATTTCCTCGTACATCTCTTGAGTGACACGTGCCCTCCACTACGGGTCATTTATCAAGTTGGCTTCCTTTCAAGCTCGTGCCAAGTTATTGAAACAAATTTGGTACGTACACCCCAATGGAGGCATGATTGCTGGCATCTCTTGTTAATTTATGCAGTTTGTATGTGTACCGTTAGAGGTCCGCTTCTCCTACCGATTTTGAGCTAGCAATATCTTGTCTTCAGTCAGGCGTCGCACCCAATATCACCAAAGTTGTAGATTGAAGCTTTGCATGCCTATCTTTTACGAGGGAACACCAAACTTGTAATTCCCACTGTACCATCGTTCCTAAGAATGCATCGATGAAAAAATCACGCTCAGTGCGAAAGTTACTCGCACTAAGACCAAGCTGATGAAGCCATGAGAAATCAAAAACTCGTATCTGATAATGCTAGCTCGGCAATTTAGACAGAAAAGCCAACTCTCTTTGGAGAGGTAGCCACAACTTCTTCTCAAGAGCAACGTGCAGAATGTTGCGATCCACAGTCTTTTGTCTCGTTTCGACAGAAGTGCCGATACCAGGATCATCCCAATCACCCAAAATTTGATGCACGATTGCACCACCGTCAAGATCTTTCCGGTAACAAGAGCCACCGCCTTTGTCGCCTTCAGCCGACGACCTTGTCTTGAAAAAAGAGGGTCTGACTCGTCGGACGATTTGAAAATGTCATGACGCATTCGAAGCTTGAAGCTCTTCAGGAAGCCGACTTAGTCGACTACGGTCTAGCCAACTCTATCTCATCCTTGGCTTTCGCCTCTTTTAAGTCAGTCCCAGCGTCAGGCTCGCCAGAGTAGATGAGCTCGAGCTCATAATTTTTGATGTCTCGCGGTACATCACCGCGTGCGCATGCAGCAGCGACTGCTTCAGGCTGAGTTGTGGAAGCAGCATACGATCTTATGTCAGCTGCTTCGGGTGAGATCGTCTCCCTTGCAGCAGTAGAGAAGAGTCTCATGGATATATTCTTAGCAGCTTTGGATGCACATCGCAAGGACTTAATATCTATGCGATGATAATGCAGATGGATGGATTGGCCAAGAAGTGCTTCCCTGTCCCATAGCCACTCAGTGGAGTCAACCATTTAAACATCAGTCACAGATGTGACTGATGGTTTAGGGGGGGGTGATGCATCAAATTGTCTCCAAAACATGTTGATTTACACAATCTAATTATCATGTGTGAAAGTTGTGTTAGGACAAGCACAATTTTCTCACAATATCATCGTGATCGAAAATAATGCTTAGCAGATGATATACACTGCTCATTGGTCGATATAGAAACAAAATATCCACCAATAAATTCCAGCCACGACAAAAGCACGCAATGAGTGGTGGGCAGATACTTACGATACATGATTGTATTTAGACATGGTTAGATGAAGTCAAAAAGAGATTTTTTTAATGGATTAATTATGCTGAATACATTTCTACTATAACGGGGTTACACGCGATGATTTGAACCGGTTTTGTAATTTGTCCATACCAAGAAAAGATCGGTGGATCTGAGTAGTGCAGTCTTGGTACCACGTACTTACGGTAATACTGCACCTTATCGGGTAATTATAAGGGATAAGACTTCTGTCATAATATCGTAATGTAGAAGTCAGTCAAGCAAAGTTTCACGGTTTCTTACCGTAGTTATAGAATAAATAAAATTCAGTTCCCCTTATGAATCGTTGGACGCTAGTACCTAGACAAGGTATAGCGTGTTGTAAGATTGTGAGCCTTGTGAAGGTGTTTACTCTTGTTTAAATAGTAGTGACTAGTTCGTGTGTAATTCTGTGAATCGTGATCCTTTCGGAACCGGGATTGTTAAGCTTGTACACTTGCACGACTGAATGTTGTTGTTCGTTTGCTAAAAATAAGACACTCTTTAGTTTTAGACTTCCTCTATCAAGGAGCGCTAAGTGGCTCTGCTACATCTGCTCTCTGTCTTTACTGAGTACTCTTACTCCATTTAGCAATTTCTTTCTGCACGGACGTGTACGTGAGGTAGTCGGACGCAAAAAATCTTCTACTGTTAGCAGTGCAAGTTTTATTCAGTTAGCTGATTATGGTGCGCCTTATTACAGGAAGGGTTCAACACGAGAGAAAGGTAAAAGAAGGTAGGACTTTTCAGAATGGTTAACCTCCTAATAATAAAACTAAGTAAATATTGTTTTACCACAATTAAATACAAACCTGTATTGGAACTTTACTCACCGCTCGTTGCGTTCTTCTGTCGTGGCTAGTATTTGTTAAGTATCATCATTTGTTAATCTAAATCGACCAATGAGCAGTGTATAACTTCTGCAGCACGACATTACTTGTTAAGTCAATATTGTGAGAACATCCTGATTATCCTAACAAAATATTCGTACTTGATATTGACCTCTTGAAAGCTATCCTGTAACGGACGCACCCCATTACGCGTATCCGTAGACGACCGCAAGCGCAGCCGACAGCTCCTCCGTACGCGACACGGACGCATCGCGCGAAAGAGAAAGAACCTGCCATCAGCGATGGTGGACCTCAAGTAGCCACATGCGCGGCCCACCGACTTAAAGTGCGATCGCCGAAGCGACCGCGGGACACCGGCCAGCCTCAATATCTACCCCTGGTCAACTGCTAGTGCAGCCGCAGTCGCCCTGCTAGTTGGACAGGAGTGCCCACGTCAATCCGTCACCCGCTTTGGCTTTAGCTCAAAAGAAACTGCGCCGAAAGGGCCGCTCAGTGTGGAGCTGAGGATAGGATTGACTTAGGCGAGACTGTGAAATCTGAGTAAGTTGGCAACGTAAAGATGGAGAAGTGAAAAAGCGTTCGGTCCTAGTAAAAAGCACATCAAAGACATTGTGAAGAACTTGTCCGTGTGTGGGTTTTTCCTTCTATCTTCTCGAAAAAGAGCGCGACCCCAATGTCACAGTCGTGTGCGTCCTGTCGCTCGTGTTCTCTAGCTTTATATATCTCTGTCAAAAGCTATACTCCTGAAAATACTGGAGTCCTAGAAGGCAGCTGTCGCACGCCACCGACATGCCGTTCTTCGTGATTGCTCCCATGAAGCGACTCCTAAATACCGCTGTCGTGTCCCAGTTCTTGTCACTATTGCACATGAAGCAGCCTCGTGATAGTGTTCTCGTCGCCCACACTGATCATCACCTTTTTGATTGGCTCAAGGGGACACGGCCAGCACCTCATTGGTGCAAAGCGCCTTTCAAGCAGCCAGCCACCTAACAACCAGCTCATTTACGAAATTACTCCGAAGACGAGATATCTCAATGGAAGCTCAGGGGGCAGAAGACACGGTGAAGAAAGCCGTCGCGGCGTCCTCAGGCGCGCTGCTTACGTCGCTTTTCGTGACGCCACTCGACGTGGCAAAAGTGCGCATCCAGTCGCAGGTCTGGCGCGCGTCCAAAGCGTCTGTTGACGTTCGGGTGCCTCTAAAAGCCAGTGCAGACGCCACTGCCATCAAGCAGTGCTGTCGCTATCGTTGTGTATGCAACCGCTGCATCACGCGCCCAGTCGCCAAGCTGCAGGTCTCGAGACGTGGAGGACACGCCCTGTCTGCCATGCGCATGTCGTGCGCGCGTGTCGCAGCTCCTTTACAGCTCGAGAGCACGTCGCATGCTTTGCGTCACATTTTCCAGACCGAAGGACTGAAGGGACTCTTTGCTGGCTTGTCTCCGGCCATGATCATCGCCGTGCCTTCAACTGTACTCTACTATGTATCGTACGACCTGCTGTTGTCTGAAGGTCGTCAGAATTTCCCGCAGACAGAAGGCATGGTGCCACTGATGGCAGGCACAACAGCTCGAATGATTGCTGCGTCCATTACGTCACCTATAGAATTAATACGGATGCGCATGCAGGGTCGCAAAGCCGGAGCAGGTGTCGTGGCAACGTTCCAGCAAGCGGTGCGGAGTGGAGGCTATTGGTCGTTACTGAATGGATTAGGAGCGACGTTGGCTCGAGATGTGCCGTTTTCGGCCATTTATTGGACGTCGTACGAGCATTTTCAGAGGAAGATTCAGTCGACAGAGCACGAGGTGACGAGGACGCAGCGAGCGTTCGTGTGCGGTGCAGTGTCTGGAGCTATCGCTGCTACAGTGACGACCCCTTTTGATGTGGTGAAGACGCTGCAGCAAGTTTCTATTACGAAACAGGGATCGCAGCTGTCGGGAACGATGGTGTTGCGACAAGTGTTGGCTAGTAAGGGTGTGAGTGGGGCGTTTACGGGTCTTGGTGCACGGCTGGCACGGGTGGCACCGTCCTGCGCTATCATGATTTCTTGCTACGAGCTGGGGAAGGAGAAGCTCGGTCTTGTATAAGGCGAGGAGCGCGGCCGGTGTGGACTTGCTTCAGGTTTGAGGGAATCGACACGAGCGCTGTTATAGCAAGTCAGTAGCAGGTCTTACTCTGGTGCAAAACGATATTTTATAAATGCAGGCTATGCGTATGATGCTGCTGCATTGGACTCGTGTTGTAATTCAACTGCGTGGCTCGAACGTTTGTTACGTGTGTGACCTTGTAGGATGTACCACGACGTGTTAACGATTCAGCCTGTCAGCAGAATGACGGTTGCAAAGCAACAAAAAGACAGCCTAAGAACAGGTGACGCACTTTGCCAAGCGGTTACTTAAGACACGCTATCCTCGCTACTGCCACATGGTGACGCTTTAGCGTCGACACATGTCCTCCAGCGTCCAACAGCCGCATGAAGCCATTGTCCACACTCATAATACACGCGTGATTGCTAGATTACGTACAAAATGAGAGAGTTATGCCACTGCTACCATAACGAGGTACCTTCTGCTGCTTATAGCGCTGTTTCGGGCTGCACGTAACGCGATTGTTGCTTGGGAATCGTCAATGACAATGACGACGTGAACGGAAAGGGTAGCTTTAGATCAAAATCTACATAGTGATGGCAGATTTACGTTCCTACTCGCAATGCCGAATAGACTTAGTATCGCCCAGGTCAGAAGCAGTTAGGCCTGACACACCTTCGATAAGGACTGGTCACTGGATAAGTCATGTCGCGCAAGAGGATGTTGTTATGACAATCAATAAGTCTAGCTTGGTGCTTCGAAGGTTCTGCAGTGGCGAATCGTAGATGGCGGGATTGTACTCTGTCGTAACGTACATTCCATTGCGTGCTTGCCGTGATGTTAACTGTCAGAATCGAAACCCTGCGAAGTCGGTGAATTGCATGCAAAACTTCCACGATATTCTCACAGCAAAATAGCGGCTATAATCTTACGAGTGCAGTGCGAAAGTAAATCGCTATCAAACAAAGTCGAGGCTCTGTGTTTGCAACGGCCGGATCGTACAACAGCTGCAGAAAATGACTAAGCAAGGTTTGGGAACATTTAAAGGTGCTGATGTAAGCTCACATCAGTCAGCGTGCACGACTATTCTTGGACGCGTGTGCCAGTAGACAGGCACCTAGGATACCATCGTGCAGAAAATAGATACTAGCGGATCGCTTTCGAATGATGTGAAAACGGCCGGACGTTTGTGGACAAATATGTAGTACATCTAGAACGCTCTGCCAAACGAAGATTTAGATGAACGGAATGCATCTGTCTCTTGAGCAGTCACGATCGACATTCACGGGAGCACAAACAGTTTTGGGCTTCAAATTTGTGCCACATTCGAGCAATCGCGAAGAGGAGGCGTCGAAACGCAGCGACAAGCAGTTTATGGTGCCATGCTATATGCCCGCATCAAGTTGTTTGAGCGAGAACCCGGAGATTCCCCGGCTTCCACTAGGAAAGTTCACCATCAGCTCCCGTGCGACTCCCCGGCCTTAACGGACTGGCTCGAGGTATTCCGGAGATCTTGTACGCAGACTTAACAAGTTGTACATGGACAATCTGAACTCATTCGCAAAGTCCATTGTCAGTGAGTGTCGCAGACATACACGTACATGTTCATTCGATTCAAAGGAGATGATCGTACATGGAAGAGAAGATGGTATCGAAGGAAAGACGCAACCGATTAGGCGCCGACGCGTACCACAGAAGTATCGTATGTGTCGATTGGGTATCGCAGTCTTTGTCGTCGTCAAAGGCTCCGTACAGCCGTTGCACTTTTCCAACGGAGAGATCAAACAATGTTGATCATCGATCGACACTTTGGCCGGTTCTCACGCCGTTTGGCTAGAATTCTAGCTCTGAACAAACGTGTTTCTACTGACTAAGACCCACATGATGTAAATACCGCAACCTTACCAGCATACTGATGAGCTAAAGAGGCAGATAGGCAAAACAACATTTTATGATTGTGATACGCCTACCACAACAGCGCGGCTACTATATAATTCGACTGCAAGGCCGCATATGCAGCACGTCAAGTTCCATCATAACACAAGACAAGCCCTGCTATAGCTCTGTACTATAAGTATTTGTAGATTGCTGTCTAATGAGATGATCGAATGCTTATTGGATAGAGCATGTAGCTGCGTATACAGGCATTTTTCGTGACGCGTTTGAAAGTTAAGAAATCCGCTTTCCGTTATAGTACGACGTAGCTGTAGCCTTTGGATAACTGCAACGGTGAGCGTCTTTTCTCGACCCAGTCGCGTTGTTCGTTTGTGTCAACCATTACCGAAAATGTATTTTGCTACAATGTAGGTATACTTCGTGACGACTGCGCCTAGCAGTGACGAACAATCGCTTGTGGCGCCCGATGACCACCACCACTGCATCGATAGAACATACGATGATTTGTTGGTAGCATGCACACGTGACCATCTTTTCCGCTCGATAAAATGTTGCTATAGTATAGAGTCGATGCCTTCATCAGGTCTTCGATGTCTTGCTTGAGCACCTGCTAACGAACTATTGCCGATAAAAGTTTTCAATTTTGCAATAAGGCACGCCTGCGCCAACGATTCGAGGATGCTACCACAATTTGACAGGTGCTCGTTTTGGAACCAAACTTTTACCTCTGATCGAAGTAGCGACGATACTGAGCCTTGATTTTCTTTCTTGATGCGTTGGCGATGGTGTCGTGACTTCATCGCGATCGACTCTTGTGAGCAAGATCCGAGACAAAATGAATTGCGCACTAATAACTTTTCACGCACTTTAACACCCCAAATTAGCAGGAATGCATCGTTGCGTGTGACGCTTGCTGAGGCTACTAGGGATAAACGAACGAGTAGCACTACAGATTGACATCGGGATCCGCATTCATCACTCGACAAATGAGGTAGTTGTAGCAAAATCTCGACAGGAATTTGCAGTCAGGCACCAGTTCTTTCGCAGCTCACATGGAAGTGGTAACGATTAATCACCGCCTCATCGCTTGTGCGCGAGCTTCAGGCTGTCCGCGTGAAGCGCTGAGATTTCTCGAATGCAGCTGCTAAAAATGTAATGGCTGCTTGTTTCGGTCCTTAAGCCTTCTTAACCCGATACTATCCCCGCGTCGATTTTTACTAGCATCATCGGCTCTTGCTCCGTTAATGCTGCAAACGCGCTTTGCTGGTTATTTTGCAACTTGATTGTTAAGGTGCACTGTCGTTGCGAGTCATCTGATTCCATCGTCAACCACAGTCATGTGGCGACACAGCGAGACAAGGTGTACACTGTCCAAATGTGGCCCAGACATTCTAGAACGACCGAGAATGGAGGTGCTAGAACGCATCGAAGTTCAACTAGCCGAGTAGAATGAGTGGACAGGAATGTCGCAATTTAAAAGAGACCTTACTTCTGGAACAGACGCTTTCGACTCTCCCGTCCACGCAACATTGTTGCTATGCACGCCCTTTATGCCACCATCAAACTCTGGTGAAAAGTGGTCAACTTACCGACTCTACAGTGTTAAACTTGAGATGCAATTTTATAATCTAAACGAATCGACGATGCTTCACAACGGCTTCGTAGCCCCTACTTCGCACGTAATTTCCGGATGCATCCTCGTTTATTCCTTAAATGACGCAAATATCTGCATCTTACAAATAATTGGACGTCTGCCAGTGCAACGCAACGTTTCGCATCTCCTCGATCACTGTGCATTTGTGAAGATAAACACGTGATGAAGATGGATACAGTGTAGATGAAAAAATACGCTACAAGGGTGAAAGCGTCGTGTCCCTCTATTCTGCTTGGCTGTTATGCGTACAACCGACGCATCGAAAGCGCTTTTTCCACTTTTGACTGCACATATGCACAAAGGTCTCGCCGGCTACGGAATTCAAATGCTTGTTGAGTTAAATTGCGGATCTAGAAGCAATCATTGTCCAGAGCCCATGAATCACCTCCATAGGCCATTCGACGTAGGCCGTTTAACTCGATCAAAGGTGAGTATGATCGCATAAGCAAACACTGGCTGTCCATAAGCAAAGGTTGATCGCGTCGCCCTAGCATGCTGTACTAGGTTACCACCGACATTAGCAGCACCATACTCATTCTTCAGTGACTGCTGCTGCATCGTGTTTTGCAACTTGACTCAGTCCTCCAAACTGAATCACTTAGATCAAAGGGCGAGCTCCAGAGATTGCTCCTCTATCTTAAATTATCTTAGCACTACACGGTCGCTCCTGTGAGCTGCAAACCCATTAATTCTTTACTGTTCGGAACACGCACGTTGTCATGTTCACGGAACACACAGACCAGACTTATCACAGCTTAACATGCGGTCATAGTAGCGTATGATTGGTGCAAAAGAAGCATCACCAAGTCCATCTGCTTTCTCAAGAATGCACACGAGTCCGATCGAACAGCAGTACCACAAATTTCACGTGAGACCACTTTCTGAAAGGCTCCAGTAACGCTATTGACAAATATAATCAAAAGCTTTCGATCAGTAAGAAACGCTCTCGATGATGACCATGTTGACACAAGCAGCTCGACAGCAGAGCGCGCACGTTTGGACTGGTGCTGGTTCTACTGTTACTGTGCGTTGCTCGTCTCAATGGCGTCTGCTGAATTATTTTTCATTTCGATCCCAGTCAGCTGACCTTTGTGACGAAATGTGACGGCTGAATAATGCAGAGAAACGGTTTCGGCTTGACTGGCGGTCGGTACCAAACGATGGCGAAGCCCTCAGTAGCTGCACCACTAAGGAATGCGTCGCTGTGGTCACGTCTTGGTCTTTCGACAACCAAGACGAACAAACAGGCGCCCATTTATTCCACGAAAGCTCGGGTTCGAACAGCAGTGTTAAAGCATAGTCGAGCAATGCTGTGGTGATGGGTATGCAAAGCGGTCTGAGTGGCGGAAACTGTGTATGATGTGGATGCAATTGCTGTGCAGAAGTTTGCGGCTTCAACGGCCACAATCGAGAACGTGACGGCCAACCGCCCAGTTGCATACTGGATCTTTGGCACGGCAGCTCTGGTGGGCGGCATGATCGCTGTAGGCGGTGCTACCCGGCTTACGCGGTCTGGGTTGTCCATGGTGGAATGGAAGCCACATGGGAGCCTGCCACCTATGACTCCGGGTGAGTGGGAAGCCCAGTTTGATATTTACAAGCAATTCCCGGAGTACCAGCAACGCCAGAGTATGGTACGACTCTGTTGCGGTCATGGTCCTCTATTTTCCGTGTTGATAGCTGTTGGTGGTCACAATTGGCTCATGTTTGGTGTAGACGGTGGATGAGTTTAAGCGTATTTTCTGGTGGGAATACGGCCATCGGATGCTTGGTCGAACGGTGGGTCTCTTCTACACAGCCCCGCTGATTTACTTTGTGCTGCGCAAGAAACTGCCAAAAGAGCTTTACAAGCACTTCGGTGCCCTGTTCACGCTGGGTGCAACGCAAGGACTAGTGGGCTGGTGGATGGTGCGCAGTGGGCTCGGGGACCATGGCAAGGAGCAGTTGGAGCAACGCAACGAAGTGCGCGTTAGCCCATACCGTCTTGCCACACACGTACGTCGTGTGTTTTTGTTGCTGTAATATTGCCTCGTTGTCAGCCTCGATCGTCACGAGTATGTTTGTATTGTGGCTGCTTGCTGCTTGGTCTCGGTAGCTGGCATTTGCATTTACAACGTTGGGCATCCTTTTGTGGACGGGTTTTACCCTCGTGGCGCCTCCATCGCGGGCAGCGATGACGCGAGAGATCATCTCACCCGACGTGCTGAAGCAAGTGACGCGCATTCGCAAGAATCTAGGCCGCGTCTCTACTGTTCTCGGCTACACGATTGTCTCGGGTGCATTCGTCGCTGGCATCGATGCCGGTATGGCATTCAACACGTTTCCGAAGATGGGTGACCAGTGGATTCCGGATGAGTTGTTCGTGATGGAGCCCAAGTACCGGAACTTCTTCGAGAACGTCCCGCTCGTGCAGCTGGACCACCGCGTCCTCGCTCTGAGCACGCTTGCTGGCTTCACTGGTGTGTATGCCATGGCCCGTCGCCCGCACATCTGGAACCAGCTGCCGCACCAATCACGCAACGCACTGAACATGGCGCTCGCTGCTGTCAGTGGTCAAGTCTTGCTGGGCATCACGACGCTAGTCAACTGCGTGCCGATCCCGCTTGCCATTTCGCATCAATGCGGTGCGATTGTGCTCCTGACGGCCACGTTGTGGTCCCACCATACACTCAGTTTTGCCAAACCGCTTCAAAAAGCCGCGACAGCTGCAGTGAAGACTGCTCCAAAGCCACTACGGTAAGCACGGCAAAATGCCAGGTCTAATTTTGGGGCTACCAAGTTGAAGTGAGCCAAAGTGTAGCGAGTCAAAGCTGGTTGGCTACTATTTCGCTTGGTAAAACGGAATAGCTTGTGAGGATACGTAACCTGGACTGAAAATACATACAGTTTAAAAGAGCTTTTCTTTCGAAAAGTAGTAGCTACCCGTTCCAATTACCCACATTAAACGAAAACTAACGGCCTGATGGACGACTGTGGTAGGCTCTTCTTCTTCTTCTCATGTTTCTTCGTATTCCCTGGGAGACTTTGCACGTCGATTGCCCACTTCACTGACGTTTTACCGATCCATCTGTCTCTTGTTGTTGCTCTAGCGTCTGCGAGCGATCGTCGGAGCATGTGGTCCATGATCAAAGAAGGTTACGAAGGTCTCGTGGGTACAGTAATTCGTCCTTTAAGGGCCCACTACGCCGTGTCCGATCTCGGGCCCAAGCATGCACAAATTGGAGGTACCTCAGTGCAACGAGTGGACCTCAAACTCAAGAATCCAGCGGGTTTGACGCTCGAGTGCAGCTGGTGGAAGCCACTAAAGCCCAAGAACGGACAAGCGACCGAGCAGCAAGACGAACGTCGTCCGTGTATTGTGGTGCTCCATGGCAACAGTTCCTGTCGATTGGGAGCTCTTGAGATTGTCATGTATGCATTGCCAGCAGGTTTTACAGTGTTTGCACTGGATTTCAGTGGCTCTGGGCTGTCGGAAGGCAAATATGTCTCGCTTGGGTATCACGAAAAGACTGACATTGCCACGGCAGTGCATTATGTCACAAGTACGGAAGAAGTCTCGAAGCTGTGTCTATGGGGACGCAGTATGGGCGCTGTAGCAGCGTTGTTTCATGCGGAATCCAATTCGTCAGTAAGCGCGATGGTACTGGACTCACCATTCTCGAGTTTGCCAAAACTAGCCACCGAGCTGGTCGAAGATGGGAAGCTTGGCGTGCCCAAGATTGCAGTAAGACTTGTCATGCGACTTATACGACGCGATATCAAGAAGCGAGCGAAGTTTGACATGTTCGAGCTGAAGCCGGTTGCTAAAATCAATAAGTGCACGGTGCCAGCTTTTTTTGTGGTGGGCTTGCAAGATGAGTTGGTTGGGCCTCATCACGTCGAAGCGCTGTACCGACTTCATGGTGGGCCGAATCAGTTGTTCAAGTTCCCCGGAGGCCACAACAGCCCACGCCCATCCAACTTTTTCATCCAAGCGTTGCAGTTTTTGCGAGTCATGGTGGGGCTGATGCCGTTGCCAGACGACCTAGCGACGTTTGGCTTGCCCCCTGCGCAGCGACGGCAAACGCGATCACGAACATCGGACAAGAAAGTACCTTCTATGCACCCGAAACCATCACGAGTGTACAAGAACCCACTTGAGCCAAGTGCTTCGATTGAAGCTGTGCACAAAATGTCAGTTAAGGAGCTGAAGCTGTGTATCGATCGTGCTGGATACAGTGATGCTACGTGCATTGAGAAAAGTGACATGGTTGATCTTGTTCTCAAGCTGTACACTCGCTATAGACGATCCAGCAAGCGAGCAGCAAACGACAGGCAGAGGCCCGTAGCAGTGGCACTACCGCTATACGAAGGGTGCGGCACTACTTTGGGCAGCAAGGTGCTGACGCTGCCAGATCCTGCCGAGAGCAAATTATCATCACCGATTATTTCCAACGTCATTGCTTCTATGGAAGCAGAAGAGAGCTCTTCTACACCAAGAGGGCGCTGTCATAGTGAAGGATATGCACCTGCTGCTGATTTATGTGAAGCAGCGAGTGCAAATTCGTCAGCACTAGTTGCTCCGATAAGGAGTACCACATCTAGCATTATTCCTGACGCGGAATTGGATCAACGTTTGTGTATTGACCAGTCTAGTGATGGGGATGATGCGTTGTCGAAAACGGACAAATCTGCAAAGCAATAGGTGAACAAGCAGTCATCAAGAAGATTAAACCGAAATGCATGAGGTTGTGATGCGCCGCTTGTTTCCATTGCTTGCGATCCAGTCATGGTTAATTCCGATGTACGAAGGAATTGTGAGGTCACAGTGTCAGCGCTGCGGTAATCAGATCCGTTTATGCTGTACCAGGCGCTTGCAACGATATCGGCATGTGTAAAAGTATCTCGTTGGATCAGGATGTTCGCGCTTACCACGTTGGAAAAGGCACTGCATTTTGTATCAGGATTGTCTGATGAAGCTATCTCTATCGGTGGCTACCAAATCTTGACTGCAGAATTTCTGCACATCTACTTGTCTTTTGCTTTGAATGTGGAGATGTTGCGGTCGAGGCTCGTGGATCAAGATGCAGGCACGCACAAAGAACTGATAACTGACTCGCTTGAATCCCAGGATGCATAAAGTGCCGCATGCGAAGGGATAGTACAGGTAGCTAGCTAGCTACAGGTCAGCTCACCGAGTGGATGACAAACAGTAATTTCTTGGCAGGACATGCTGGTGTTTTCGTAAAAAAACAGCAGCAGCAGTTGGCCGTTGCATCCCTTGAAACGCACGATGGACATGCAGCCGCCGCTTTCATGAACGACCAAGTTCGTGCCCAGAAAGAGACACTAGAATCAACGATGTCAACGATCCATTATTCAAACTTCCGTGCTGCATACTGCCGCGGGCCCTGTCTTTGCAAAATGTAAAAACGTGCAAGTGAACTCAGTAACACGCAAGTTCTCTCATTTTGAATCCATGCTGTCACCATCTAGTATACGACATTTGTGGCGTCCACAAAGTGCTGTTGCAGTTGCAGTTCTATGACAGTAGTGTGCATGATCTGAAAGCTGTCAAATGTACGAAGGCAAAAAGTATTCGTGAGGCTATTGCGGCGATCACTGTAGTGGTTTGCGGATGGCTCTACGTAGCGACCGACGAGAACTTCGCTACTGGAGATTGGGCTCATAATAGGATAAAAGCCCCAGCACGGGGTAAGGTCGAGCAGGTAGCACCACCAATTGCTTCTATCAGCACAGAAGATCGTCGAGAACAATGCTACTAGTATAGAGAGACATCTACAGATACAGACTGTTTGTACGTTTGTGTAGTAATTACTCACTCATGTATCAGCGAGTTCCTCTGGCGCCACACAGTGACGCGATGACCAGCCACAAGTGCGTAAAACTAGAGCACACGGTAGCAATCGACATGACATCGAAGATTCAAGTGTCTACAGCGAAAGTCTTGACCTCGAGTTTGAGTAGCCTGGGCACGGAAGACAGGGACTTTCGCTTCATAAAATAACCGCTATTAGAAGAGGTTAGCAACAGCAAAAAAACGAGAACGCTAACGTCTCTACTAGGTGGCCGGATGCACACATCGGATGAAAACTACTTGTTGGCAATCTCGATCACACTTCTTTCGACGACGCTGGTTTATTACAACGTCTGAAAACGCTGGCGTCTCTCAATGCACAAGTGATAGTGCGAGTCGACACTGTGGTAATCGATCAACTGTCGTGACTATTCTGCCCAGAGCGTGGTACAACAATGGACTGTTGCCGAGTCGTACACGCGTACCACTACGACGGAGAGTACTACCATCGTACCGTTGATCTATAGTTTCTTATAACTTTTCCCTTAGGCGAGCAGACGTCTACAGGCCTTCCGCCACTGTCTTCCCACTTAGACAACACACAGGCTTATGTCGACGCTGTGGATGCATTACCATCCATTGGAAGTTACTTCTTTGTCGAGTGGAATCGAACCTGGTGTTGGAATGGTTTCAGTAAGTCGAGATTGCGTTTTTCAGCGATGGCCTTTATGCTCACGCGCTGGTCGAGTCTCGCCTCTATGTTTTCGGCCGTCACTTTGTCCGCTACGACCACGAAACGTTCTGTTGTATCCGTTAAATTTCGTTTGAAGATCTGGTCGATAGTGCTCGTTCATTATCCAATTTGCCCTTGTCTTACGTCGAAAGACAAGCCATCGCCCTCAATCACGCACCTTGCTCTTCCTCTTTTCTGACAGATGGAAGGGTACTTGATTCGCGTACCATTGGAAGCCTGTTTTCCAGACACACATCCTGACTGGCAACCGAGTTTCGATGCCAATAGGTCCGTTTCCTCTCGAGTGCTTTACTACGTACTCGAAGAAGGATATTTACGCGGCTATGAGGCGCCAAACAGCGTCAGCGAGCCGGTTGAATGTCTTCAGTTGACCAGCCATCGTCTCGAAGTTAATGTCATGTACTCGCTCAATATATTCGAGATCAAAGCGCAAGCAGTTAACCTTCGTCCATCGCACCAATGCGATCTCGTCGATTGTTCAAGTTCGGATAGCAGTGATGAAGACAATCATTGCAGCAGCACCACACAAGCCGAATCGGCAGCGATGAACGCGTCGCACACGAAGAGTCCATCCTCTCCTGATGTGATTAGTGGAAACTACCATTCGGTGTTTTTTGCCGCAAACAGCGACCTGGTCAAGAAATGGTCTTTGAAGCTGCTGAACTGGAATCGTCATGTGTTTGAACCTTGTGCTGACCACAACGACACGGAACTGAAGCAGTTCAACAGAGACATTATTCAGTCGTTGTGCGTCGTGAACGCTGCAAATCGATTTCTAAGACCAGTCGAAATACAGCCAACGCCCGAGGACAGCATGACGGCTGTTCAGATTCCAGCTGTAGTGACGGCATTCGGTTGTAGCCAAGTTAGCTCCACTCCTGCGTCGATCTGCCTGCCGCCACTTATCAGTAGCCCCAGCAAGTATTCAGCGACCGAAACAACCCCGGTCATCGGCTTAAGCTCAGACAAACCGTCTGATGGGCTCACGATGTTGCAGCCCACTAATTCGTGGTGGACGACTCCTTTCGGAAGACACAAAAAGGTTTCGTCGTATTCCCTGAGGTGTTGACACACATGAGGTCGACGTAATCTTCAACCAGCAAATTTAATCAAACACCTTTTGTAAGCATTCTTGTCTCATAACAACAAGCAGTTGCTCGGTTGCGTTCCCTCTGCAGCACCTCTCGACTCTGTCTGCCTTGTAGAATTGCTGTCTTCAATATTGTGCGTACATTCCCACCTGTTCTGTGTAGTCCATACGATCGAGAATCGAAAGCAAACTATGTATGAAGCTTGGCTGAACCAACTTTTCATTTCTCCACCATAAGTTACCGGCTTTCACAAACAAGTACGAGCTTATCACGAGTAGCTGTGAGTTATTTGTCCATTGAGTGGAAGAAAGTGAAACGTACGTAGACTGTCTGTCACCTTTGCTCTTGTTCATGGAGCATTGGCTATCTTTTTCAAAGTGTCTATATGCAGCTAATGTGGCATATAGATATTTCCGAAGATATCCGGGCTCTCTCGCGCTAGGTCCCAGACCCAGGGCTCGTCATTCTTCGGATCATAAGAGATCAACGGGAAGTCATACGGCAGTGTCAGCAACAACTCTGTGGATGAGTTCCTCGACGTGACAGCGCTGGAACGCTCAGCAGCCTTACTGCCTATCGTTACAAGACGTGGTAAAGCTCCATCTCTGTTTTGGCGTGCCAAAACCGGTGGTAGGAACATCACACCGAGCTCATACGACCGGATCATGAACTGAGAGTTGTTTTTCTGGAGCGTGCCCCAAGCAGCTTTGCTTAAGTTTGAGCTGGTCAGTATAGCCCAATCCAGCTCTCCAGATTCTTCCTTGCTTGGATTGAATCGGACATACGACTTGATGTGCGGCATGGCGTTCTGCCGGTGAAGAGCTGGTGGCGGAGCCCACTTTCGGAGATACTTGTGCAAGAATGGTTTCATGTTCTTGAGTGCGCACGGAATCGATCGTCCTGCGTTCCATCCCTCAAGCGAGTTTTGCTAAGAGTACCGAAAATGAGACAACTTTGATGGCCGACTGTACCTCAAATTCAATTGCGGATCGTACCACATCCTTGACTGAGGGCCAAATTATATGAAGCGCTTGAACCGGCATGGACGTCGGGGACACGTTCTTCTTTCCTGGCAAAAAGCTCGCTGCAAACTCTCCAAAGAGCCATTTCTCGTCAATAGATCCTAAACTTGAAAACTAAAACAAGTTGTGAACGTAAGTGTTGCAGCCATGATGGACGTGAAGTTACGTATACGTGCCTGGCAAATCAATGGGTTGTCTGTACGAGGAATTTTACACATCTTCAGCAGGCTACAGAATCCAAAGCAATTATTAAGACGCGGTCATTTTTCTTTTTGAAGCTTGGAGCATAGACATACTTGCGAACACGGAGATGGCCATACTTCTCCATGTCTGTTCACAAACACCGACGCAGCCATAATTAGATCACTTGGTAATCAAGACAATCATCACCCATACCTCATTACCATTTCCTTTGTGAACTCCTGGAACTGATGGAACCAATGCGACCGTTGCCGTCGAGAAATCAAAGCGCTGGAGCTCTTTACAAAATCGACGAACGTGCTCGCCAAGGGATGACAAGTATCGGACCAGATCATCCTCAAAGTCAACACCACCAATGTTTTTCGCAGCCGCTTTATCCTCTTGATCTTCATCGTTACAGTCACAAAGCACCTTAAGGCCAAAGTCCTGATACCACACCCCCTGCGTCTTGGAGTGCCAGTCATTTGACAAAAAGTTGGCAGTAAAAATTGCGACTCGCACTTTCTCCGAGTACAGCGTGATGAGCATTTTGGCATGGTGCGTTCCGTACGGAATAGGTAACGGTGGAGCCACCGGCGTCACATTCGCATATTTGCGACATTCTTTCATCATGCTACAAAAATTGAGCAACATGTAGCGAAACGAGCAGCAAGTTGTAAAAAAGCACCCAAACCAACTAATTGGGCACTTTAGCCCACTAAGAAAGATACGGTGAGCTACCCATTTCGATCTCTCTCTCCATGCACGAGCAGTACTGGTACTTGTCTCAGTCGTGGACACTCGGTAAAGAGCCACGGCAGGTCAAACATATAATTGGTCAGTAGACACTGTGAGAACGGTCCCTCCAAAAGATCCTGTAAACTCTTGGTGTGCACTGGGACGAAGCGATTGACAAGGGACAAAGAGACTGACACGATGAACTGGTGGACGAGAGAACGACGTCAGAAAACGCTCGGCACGCACCGTTGTGAGTCGCAAGCGCAGGTTTTAGCTGCGTGAGGTAGAAGCCAAGCGGTCCCCAGTCTTCTCGTGTAGAAGGGACCGCATCGGTGCAGAGCTCGTCCGTCGTCACGCGTTTCTGTCGCTTTAGCTCGCGTGCTTTGTCCACCATCAAGTTGAAGTGCGAGTTTTTGTTATTCACTGCGCTTGAGTCGAATTTTGAACTCTAACGATGTTCGGTTATGGTACGGATCGAGTGTGGCTGTAATTTACACAACAGGTTAATTACGTGCGATTAACTACTTTTGAGCTTGGTACGCTTTCATAAGAACGAGTTTGGCGCTGCCGGTTGAGTGTGTTGTGCGAGTAATTGTCGCTTGTCTCTCGATTTTGTTGACGGCCCCATTTTTGACCCTGCTGGTGTAACTCACGTACGGGCATCCGATCATGAAGATACGTCGATTGCAACTTTAAGGATATTTGCATTTGTCTACTACAACTTCTTATCACTGCACGATATATCGGGTAAGCATTAACCATGTCGGTCATGTGTCACGACGCGGTATGATCTCCTTCACGCTTCATTATTTTGCAGACTAATTAAACTGGGTGCAATGGCGGGCACTCCGACGGTCAAAGAAACCTTTTCGAAGTATGCTAAAACGTGCTAGCAAATTGCAACGATTGCGTAGAGAAAACGCTGTTCGAATTCGGCCGTACATTTATTGAAAGGCACTTCAGTAATATTTGACATTTATGACAAGCACTAATTTAGGAGAGCCGATAACCACCCACCACGTTTTTGTTAACCAGCAATCATCACCTGTTTACAAACTTTCCATCCAGCCAATTATTATCCGATCAGCTGTATCTCCAATGGTTATCAAATTTGCATCTACAGTGCACTTTCATGGTCGCGAAGTTCTAAGATGAATGCTTCAAGCAGCGAGGTCGATAAGATAGGGGAGCAAGCTCTGGAGCTCGCCCTTTAATGTAAGTAATTCAGTCCATAGATCTGAATCAAGTTCCATATATTCACGTACCTTTGTTGAATTGAAGGCAAATACCGAAGTGATTAGTTGATTGAGGTCCTTAGTTCTCATGCTAACCATGTTACATCTAAGTCCTATATCTACGATGTGTTTCCATCGTACAAGAAACATTGTCGTCCCAACGTCCATGTCACTACCTAGTAATCTTCTGGTAATCAGTTGACCAGATGGCACCTGTACCTCATATATGCTTACCTCATGTTCTCACGAAAGTGAGTCACACCCAATTACAAATATCCAATAAACATGCATCGATAAAATACGTACATACGGTGTACCTTGTCATCAACCTTGCGCTCTGTCAAAATTTTAGCTTTACTCTTCAGGCTCGCACTCAATGTCTATACCATGATGAAAAGGTTAAATCCTACATCTCATTTGGTACGACGTGCAAAGTACATCAAGCATTACTTACTGGAAGAATGCGTGACAGACTACATCGCAATTGGTGCGACGCGTAAGGTACACCTGACCCTATTCACACACTCAGGTGGTGACAGACAAAATCGCAATGAGCGAGACGTTTAAAATAGACCTAGCGTTATTTGCAGACAGACACACACACTAGCACTTTCGATTTGAAAATTTCGGCATTCACCTTGAGCACCGTCACTGACAGCTTCACTCTTCGGGATCGCAATTGTAGACTTGGAAAGGTAAAATGTACTGGGTGCGAGTGGGTCACTGTACCTGTGATTAGTTTTGACCAATAAAGATACGACTTTCTAGCCTTAATTTATGTACCCAACCTAATTCTGATTTACCATTCTAATTTGGGTATGCCCACCCTACTGATGATATTCAGTTGTATTTTTGTAAGGCGTTTGCAGGCAATCGAGGAGCTACAATTAAAAAGCTAATAAAGCAACGTCATTGCACTAGGTCGATAAACTCTGAATGAGGTGCATCACATCTGTGCGGTTACTTTCTTGAGGTGCACACTATAATTGTCCCATGCATGCATTTCCGTGCCACATAACTATCATGTCTCTTTTTTGCAGACATGGCATAGTAGCATCATGGTGATTACATTACCGGTTGCGACACCGAGAGAATTGATCATGAAGTGACTACAGCACTTCTAGTACATTGCGGTTTGCCAAATACGCAAGTAACAAATTGTCCGCAAATATGTCACCTACAACGATGAAAACAATAACGACGCCAATATCATGACGGCACCCAGATTTGAGGCAACCAACGTAGAAGATGACGAATAACAAGCATTATCAGAATATTCATTCGATGGCAGTGATCTTTTAGAGGTGTTCGTTAAAGACAAGCAAAAAATGCATACAAGGCGTTATTTGAAACATTCGTGGTATGGTTAGTGAGCTCTTAGAGGTGTTCGTTCTTCCGAATAAAAAAGTAAAAAGATACAATAACTACCATTCTCTACCTCTCCTTTAATAACTCGACCCTAGGAGCTTATCACCTGACGGCAACCGCCGTTACAGATATACGATTGAATTCATACCTAGGGTAGGCACATTAAAAGAAATATGGTCATCAGAAGTAAGCTGGGTATAAGAGATTAAGGTTGGTAAGTCATTTTTTATTTTTCAAAACAAATCGCTGGACAGATGATCCACTCGCAACCGGTATAAGTAACGTAATTCTTACCGATAACTAATGTTCTATCAAAAAGCGCTATCTTTTATCGCTAATAAGCTATGGCTAGAATCCACCTGTTCATTCTCATTATGTAGAAGCTGTTAAAATCGTTGCGTTTTAAGTGATAAAAATTAAGTACTGTAAAATTTATCGAATTAAAATAAGAAGCTACAGAGTTCTAAAAAGAGTTTAATGGCTTTAAAAATTTTGACGAAATCTAATTTTGACTAAAAAATAAACTAAATTTCTGTGATTATCACTTTTACGCATCTAATCGTAAGTTATCTTGCTTTGAGTCTAAATTACATGACTTCAAAACAAGAATATAAAAATAAGTCAAGAAATAAGCTGATAGATACAAAATCGGAATTCGTTTGGATTATCAAAGAAACACTACCTCGTCCAGGATCGTTCCGATAAGATTCTAAAACATGGTGCTAATTTCGTGCTTTAAACTGGTAGATCCGCTACCGCTCGCGAGGACAAGTACTCGTGATGGCATCGGCTTGCAGCCATGATGGTGACTCAAGCAGCCAATGACCGCTGTGTCCAGTGTCCGCAACTAATAATGTATTCATCCTTCGATGTCCTGCCGATGGGCACTTCCCAGTACTAGTCCTCCACCGCTTTTATAGCATAACCCATTGCGTGTTTGTACGTTTCTACAATAAGGTAAGTAGTTCATTCCGTCAAGTATGAGCATGTTTAAGCTAATTTACACCACACTAACGTTACGGTTTAACACGACGAATTTTGTTTGATTGAAAAAACAGCGTTTTAAATGGCTCTGGCGCGTAGCTCGTTCATGCATACTCTGTCAGTCAGTTGCTGAAAATTAAGGGTCAACAGATGACTGAAATAATCCATTACAAGTTGAGCTAGAATAATATGAAAGTTCTTGTCTGCCATTACAGACAAGGTATCTCAACTTTATCAAAGAGATTAGTACCTAGCACAGTCGTGGGCTTACTATATCGATAGAACCAATAACACTTGGATAACTATGCCATTGATGCGCTTATCAGTTTCAGCATAGAAGTAGCTTTTCATCGACTGGCAACATTTCAACAATCTGCAGTATGCTTAGAAACTCGTCACGACAGTCGTACTTGTTGCACTACATATTTTCGCTTGTCACCACATATATCCTACAAAGTCCAATGTGAGTCTCAAAAAGCTCGTTGGCCTTTGATAAAAAGTTAGTACCTTGCCTTAGCTAATAATTTGCCGTCATATAGCGCAGGTCGATGGTGAAGGAGTTTTGAGCTAGTTTTTCTATGTGTAACGTATCAATTTGGGGACCGTTTACCACATCTACCATGTTTTCGGTGATTGTCCCCTCACCCTATACTTTACCGAACTTGATTTATTCGAACCAATTTTCACATAGCTTCTGTTAAAGCAAAACCTAAAATTGCAGTTCTCACCGCAACATGCTGTTTTGCGATTACTAGCGAAAATCGCATATTTATGAATGGTCATATCGAAGTGCTTTACTGTTTAAAATTAGCCGCCAACATCAACGAAAAATGAATTTTATACCCCTCTCCGTAAACGCTACCTTTTCACCTTTTTACGACTGAACCATCAGGATCCTTAAAAACTATGTGTACCTTAAACTAAATGTTTGTACGGTCATTTGATGCGGCTGTCGACGATATGTCCGGAAAGATCGTCGGGAGGGAACTAACTAACGTGCGCGATTTAAGTCTATCTCCTCAAAAGTTAGCCTTTATAGAGCTGGGCAACAAAAAAATTGGGCCGTAAAAATAAGAGCTATATAATCATCTGATGTTACTAAGCCCATTGTACTTTTAGATGTAGAAATATCAACAGCTTAGTCAAGCAAGCAGATGAGACCCAGAAGTAATGGTCTATCTTGTTTTATAGGCCTTCTTCGTTGCGTGGACTAAAATTATCATATCTTAGTCTTCTAAAGCGTATACAGCCGCAAATACTTTAGAAACGTGTTCATCCCGAGATATCGCGTTTATAACGAGCATCACCGTACCACCTCCCTAGGAGTAAAATATGTAGTAAGGCGTTGCTTTTCCGTGAAAATTTGTGTAGGTAAAATAATAACTCTGTATAACATATAAAGTGTGCCATGTCACCTGACGAACTTACTATCGTGAGAACCTTGACCGTCTATTTTGTATTATCTATTCTTAACTTACCTTACATCAGCATTAACGACAACCGTTAGTACGGATGCGAGGTTCTACACTCCTTCTCGGGTGGCCAATTTAATCTAATAATCAAAATGATCTTACTTAGCGAGGCGCGGCGCCAGGACGACTCAGTGCACGGCACGCGTGATCTTGTGCTCGTAGTATTGCATGTTGATCTCCATAATACTCGCAAGGTACTTCACAGACGTTTACAGGGCGTCTAAATCTGTTGACCATAGAGACGTGCCTTTGCCCCCGATTTATGCAATGGAGGCCTGGATATTAGAGTGCAATATCGACCTTTTCACATAAATATGCAGATCTCTTGTAGCAGC